CGTCCCGCTCGGGCACGTCCCCGCTGAGGTCCCCTGCGCCCGAGGGCCTGGAGAAGCGTCCCCGGCCCGGCCCGCTCCGCTCCTTCAGGTTTCGCCACCTGTTGGAAGGCGGACCCCAGGAGCCCCCTTAACCGGGCCCCGCGCCCGGGCCGCTCTCCCCGAGGCGGCGACGGGCTTGGCTCCGGCTGGTCCCTCAGTGAACCCGCCGGCGACTCGCCGCAGCGCGCGTTACGGATCCAAGGGACGCGGCTGTTTATACCCCGTGCGCTCAGGACGCCACAGCCAACGACTGGATTTCTCCTCGGGATGTATGTTACCCATTTCCCCAGCCTCTCACCTCGCTCCCAGCAGCGGCCCGAGACGGAGGTGTATGTAACCGGTTATCTTTTCTTTATCTTTCCCTGAAATACTCCCATGAAAAGAATCGTAAAAGCTGGAAGCATAGATTGAAAATGGTTATCCCGAGATGTAGGGAGACGTCAGCAGGACTGTAACTGCTTCTCAAATATAGTCATAGCGCTCACGTCTCATCGTGAGGACACATTTCTCTTTTTTTTTTTTTAATTTTATTTATTTTTTAAATTTTATTTTATTTTTTTCCCAAGGACGCATTTCTGAAATGCTCATGTGTTCCAGGAGCGTGATCTCATTTCATCCTCACAACCTACTGAAGGAGCTAAGACTTGGAAAGGTCAGCTAACTTGCCCAAGGTCACAGTCAGGGACAGGATAAAGATGCAGAGTCAAGTGCATGTGACTGCTGGGCATCTTGGGGGGCCTCGGGAGACACCTTTAGCCCTGGTGCTGCCACCCCATCCACATTCTCATTAAGATCAAGCTGATGCATGGGTACACAGTCTTGGATTTTCTGTTTCATTGATTCCATGCCAACCTTTGTGGCTTTCTGCTAAGAGAATTGTTTTATAATGGGCCCGTGTGGAATTTTTTTGGGTGGCACCGAGCCTATTAAAAAAAATGGGGTTCAAGAATGCATCCATTTGACTCTTCCAAACAAGCCCGTTAAGTTCAAAAAAGTCACTTCCCTTCGGGTTTAAATCGATAAAACGTATACACATCAGGTAGAACGAATCCTACTCCAGTCTTCCTGCCTCGCCCTGCACGTCTCACTGCCAGTCATAGGACCGATGTTGCTGTCATCGGAATTCATGCTAACCATGGGCCCTCTTTCAGTCTCTCTGCCCTTGTAGCGGTTGTGCATTCGACAATCTTGGAATTTGTGCATTCAACTATGGATGTATATTTAATGTTTTTTTGCAAATGCATTATTGCAATGCAGGTATTGGATTTTGCTACACTTTCCCAGCAGTTCTCATAGACTTAGAAATTGCTGTAGTGACGTTAGTGGAAAATTCACCTAATGGGGCTACAAACTTTTATAGTCAGGTTACATATTTGAGATAGTTGTGAGAAAGGTATAGGGATTGTTTGAAAATTATATTCCATAGAAGTTACAGCTTTTTTTTTTTAATCCACACCCAAGTATATTTTTCCCATTGCTTTTCAGAAAGAGTGGAAGGGGGGAGAGAGAGAGAGAGAAACACCGATGTGTGAGAGAGACATCAATTGGTTGCCTCCTGTATGGACCCCGCCTAGGGCTGGGGACAAGCCTGAAACTGAGGTACATGGCCTTGGCTAGAATTGATCCAGGACCCTTCAGTCCATGGCTCGAACCACTGAGCCAAACCGGCTAGGGTGGAAGTTACAGCTTTTAATGATAAACTGGTGACAGTAAAGCAACAGGACAGTATAGCTTCTATATGTTTTCCCATATAGAAAACATAAGGGTTCCTAAAGTTAGATCACACAAGGTGGGCCTTGAGTGCAAGGTGTAAAGGAAGCTGCCCCGTTTTGATACAGGAGAGGGCCAGGAAATCACTTCTCCTGCATCAGCAGTAGCCTAGCTTGAGATTTCTGCTTGCAAATGTAGTATGCACTCATTGTAAAATGTTCAAATATCATGTAAATATAGAAGATAGCAGGTCAGTGGTTAGAATCTGGTCATCTTACTCCTCATCATGATCTACATGAATAGTTTAGTGTGGAGTCCTCCAGATTCGGAATGTGGATCCTAAAATGTTACTGTTTGCAAACAATACTATACACACAGTTGCACACTGTTTTTCAGTTTCTCGTCTTGCACTTGGTAACGGACCTCTTGGAGGCCCTTGACTGGCATAGTTTTAGACACCTTTTATTCGACCACAGTGGGAGCCAGATGAGAGAAGCTGTGTAACCAGGAGAGAAGGTGTAACCAGTTGTGTGGTGGGTAGGGACACGGCATGAGCTGTGTCCCATGATAGGTAGTTTCACAATTTGCAACTGCTGTTACCCTTTGTGGTTAGCTGTTTATGGATGAAGAAAGGGGAGCTTGAGGTAAATGATGTTAGGAGCAGAGCTGAGATTCAAGCCTAGGTCAGTGTAACTCAGACTCTGGGCTTTTTCTTTCTAATTGCAGAACAATGAGTGCTTCGTCCCATAGTTCTCTGGCCTCCCATCCAATGCTGCCTCTGCCCATCCACACTGGCCTTCTTGCTGTTCCCCCTGCTCCAGAGCCTCCACACTAGTGGTTCCCTTTCCTGGAATGCTTTTCCTGCAGATACCTGCATGGTTTGCAGTGTCACCTCCTTTTGGCTTTGCTCAAATTCTGACTGCTTCTTTAAAACTACAGGCCTCCCCACAGGTATTTCTATCCCTCTTCCCTGCTTTGCTTTTATTCCTACCCCCTCCTAGCACACTACATAAATTAGTTATGTATGTCATACATCTCCAGGGCACAGGGATTTTGTCTGGTTTGTTCGCTCCCTGCACCCTGGTGTTATGGAAAACAACTGACAAGACACTGTGGCATCCTTAAATCTTTCCAGCCTCTCACACTTTTTGCTTTTGTTAGCCATTACGGTTTCCCATAGTGAATGGGGACACCTCTGAAATGCAAAGGCTTTCTATGTGTGTGTTTGGGGGAACAGCAAGGAAAATGAACAAGAATCGGAAGAGACTTTGTCTTATGTTGAGCCGGTACTGGGGAAAGAGAAACCTCCCAGGTAGAGTCAGCTCCTATAGAGTGGGAAGAAAGTCACCTGAGGGCTGGGGTGTTTGACAAGGCAACAGAAGGTTTGTGGGGGGATGCCCTGCGATAGAAAGGAGACCTGTGGATTCTCCTCTGTTGGAGTTCAGAATGTTTTGAAGAGTTCAAAGATGCCACCAACTTTCCAAGTGGTCCGAGTCACTAGAAAGGGAAAGGAATCTGTGGACACTCACACAGGCAGGTTAATCACTGCAACCCAGCATCAGCCTGTTGCATTTTTAGAGATGAAATACTTGTTGGTGTCTTTCCTGTTTAAGCCTGGGTGTAAGAGTTCGGTGCCTGAGCGCGTACCAACTACATCACAGCCTGAGATTGTTTTGGCCCAAGCCGTCCTGGACTCCGGTCCTCTCATTCATCTGCTGTTTGTAGTAGTTCTTGAGCTGCAGCAAATGATGGGCATTTGTGGGACTTATACAGCACTTTATTTATTTTTAAAAGACAGAGTATTATTTTATTATTTTATTTTTTTATTCTCACCTGAGGATATTTTTTTCCCATTGCTTTTCAGAGAGAGTGGAAGGGAGAGAGAGAAACATAAATGTGAAAGAGACACATCAGTTGGTTGCCTCCTGCACATAGTCCAATTGGGCCGGGGATGGAACCAGCAACCAAGGTACAGTGGCACCTCGGTTTTCCAATGTCTCTGTTGGCGAACATTTCAGTTTACAAAGGCCGTAAACCTGGAAGTAAATGCTTGGTTTTCCAACACGCCCCAGAAGTTGAACATGCCACGCAGCTTCTACTGAGGGCAAGATCCTGAGGCCTAGCCGTCGGCTGTTGATTCCTCGGTTTTCAAATGTTTCAGAACTTGGGCGGTCTTCCGGAATGGATCACATTAGAAAACCGAGGTACCACTGTACATGCCTTTGGCTGGAATCAAACCCGGGCTCCTTCAGTCTGTGGGCCAACGCTCTAACCACTGAGAAACCCGGCTAGGGCTCATACAACACTTTAGAGTTTATTACCTAGATACTGGAGGGAATTAATGGTTATGGGATGAAGTCTCCCCAAAACTGCTTCTCAGCCACGGGAAGGCCTCCTTCTCCCTCTTCTCTCTTTTTAGCAGCTTTAATTGCTGTTCTAGGCAATCTGAATTATCCACAAGGAGAGAGTACCCCTTCAGAAAAACACAACCTTCCTAAAACTGCTTCAGATTTGTTATAGAAACTACTCAGTAGCTAGGACAGGGGCTGATAACTTGAATTCCCACAGCTCATTAAAACAGAATTTTAATCAGCATTTCTGCCCTTTGCAGCCCAGGTATTTGGAAGTCTAGGCTGCAGCTGGGCAGCTGTCCTATGGGTTTCGGTCGGAAGTCATAACACATACTTTTGACTGCTCTCTCTTAACTCAAAAAACCAAGTCCGAAGCAAGTTATTTCATCCTATTTGCTGAGCCTCCCACCCTGATTCCAGAATTGCCATTTTGTCCAGCCCATGCAGTGTATAAGATCAAGTAACCTTCCCTATAACGGTTTCCCTTAAAATAGTTGTCTTTGGATTTTACCTGAACTTGATGCAGTTTTAAAAAAATAATAATTTCTGTGACATTTGCTAATTCTCAGTTAAACTTGACTACTACAAAGTGTTAATTTTGTCCTTCAAAACAGAAGAACAGGGAGAATCATTGTAATCTCCTGAATAAAGAAGATGTTCCATTGCTTTGGGGCATAGTCTCAGAAGGAAGGCTTGGGAATTTCTCTCCCATCTCTCCCTGTCCTTTCATTGTCAGTGTCTACCTTTGGCGCTCTCTCCTCTCACTGCCTCCTCGATGTCCTACAAGGAACCCCTGTTCCCACCCTTCTACTGAAAAGGAACTCTTGAAGGTCACCTGTGATTGCCTAAACCCAAGTCCATGGCTGTTTCTCAGATTTCGGTCCCGATAGCTCAGCAACATCTGACCCTATTGACTCCTGCTCCTTGAAACGCTCCCTGTCGCAGCTCCTTCCCAGGGCATCTGGTGTCTGTTAGCATCCTTCCTGTGCTATTGAGAGGCGAGAGGCGCTCTGCAGAAGAGGCTGAGTGGGGCTCTATCTCCAGGGTTTGGATGCTGGCTGTAGCACTTGCTAATCGTGTGACTTATTAACTGTGCTTCAGTTTCCTCATCAGCTGTGTCATAGGGCTGTCAGGAGGGAGATTAAGTCAGTGTGCCTAGTCAAGAATTAGGGCTCCGTAAATGTCACCTTTCATCATTGGAACTCCCTTAGATACCTCCAGAGGCTAAAAACCCTAACCTTAGCTCCTAGTTATTTTACTTACTACCCTGACCCTTCCCAGTGCATGCCCACTTCTGTGCCTTTGTCCATGCAGTCCCCACTCTTGGACTACCTTCACACCTTCCTACCCTGCCCCTCCTTCCTGGCCAGAGGAGGGAAAGTGCTGAGAGCTGCTCCTGCCAGAAGACACCAAGCACAGATGTGTAATAAGACATCCTCACTTGGGCACTGAGCCTGTCTCGCTCAGAAAGATTATAAATAAATTACTTCAGGACACCCACTGTGATTTATACTTTTAAAAATATCCTCCTCAGCATTTAACACTATACTTTACACACAGTAGGAATTTAACTCATATCTTTTAGCTGCCA